AGTTCACTACTTAACCGTTTCCACAAATTTGATAAGTCCAGACAGACACTCATCCAATATCATACTCTTGGTCGCGGAAATGTCAAATTTTTAATATGGCTTGATGTTCAATGGAACGATACAGATGAATTTCGAACAATTGAAAGAAGTTCTATTTCTTCAACAATTTGCTATACTTCACTCAACCTTTCGGAACAAATTTAATCCATATTCAGTGAAGACATCCATTTTGTCAACAGTGACGTTTTATTATTCAAAATATCAGGTTACGATGAGATTACATGTCATAGTATCATAATTCGTGTCACGAATGTAAGATATGAGTGACAAACATATTAAAAGAAGTTAATCACGGTAAGGCAATATCCACAACTGGATACTTGTTGATGGACAAAAATGGTTAGGGTGATTTTATGCCACTTTAAATGATGAGTACGGTTCCGATGGCGAAATTCCAAGTTGTAAGCAGCTGACCAGAAACCGCAAAATGAAATGATCTCATGTTACTGTATTGCATCACTGTACTTGTTTTAGAATAATTGACAAATAAGAAAGACTACAGGAAGCCTGTGATTATTATCAAATAAAAACATCTGTTTAAAAAAGTTCCAACAATTCACTTTTACTATAAAATCAACGATACGTAGTTATTCATTAGTAGTATTGGTGGAATTACTGAATCACTAGACAAACACAACACTGAAGGCTGTGCTTGAACCGAAAAAGATGGACCTTAATTATTCTGAAAAAGGTCAGTTGTGGTTCGAGTAAGAAAGTAGATAATGTACTTTGTGCAAAGTCGAGTGACATAAGTTTAGATCTCATAAGACGTATACGTTTCGTGAGGATTTATGGTACCCTTCAACTCTTGTAACAACAACATGGAAAACTGGCATGGCTGTTCCTGACGACAGACTATAAATACCCAATCAAAATATCTACCTATTAACATCAATTCAAAAGAAGCATTTGGAGCATTCTTCAGGTTTATATAGCTGGCAGGCTATTTAAGTATTCCTCTACGGATGCTCCCTCACAGAGAATTTCATTTCAATTTTTGTTGTAACATTAACGCGAATTTTATTAGCTGTTGTTATTTCGAAGTGTATTCGACCGCCTTTAAAATCTGCTCGCTTCAACCTAATGATGACATCTAACTTCAATCAACATGCAACACAAACATCCATCTGGTAAATAGTCGAATGTATCTACTCAGAATATCTGCTAGCGATCGTTTTCTCTGTTACGTTGATTAGTATGAAATGCTACACGGAACCATATATGGACTTCTACACGATGACGATAAATCACAGTCTCAGATTCAATAAACATGAGAAGCAATAACCATTCGAGTATAAATATATACAGGCTGAAAGTGGGAGTTCCACATATACACAAACTATAGACTTGAAAACTAGAAAATTATGTTAAATAACAATTTCTACACCTAGTTAAAATTAAACGGTTAAGTTTCACAGATTTTATTCACACCCGATGCCAAATCTACTGTAAAATGATTTTGAATTTCATTCACGTTTGTTTTGTGTGTGTCAGTGTTTGGCAGTCAAATAAATGAATCTTTATAAAACGACATTCATCAATATACTGAAAGTAAATATCACGCCCACTACAGAATAAAGAACACCATATAACCTCATCATTAAGATAAAAAATGATGATAACCAACAAAACTGTATGATTTTTGACATTTCTACAAAGACTATATGAGGTCAAAGACAGACATTTGGAAATCACACCTTCAGATAACCTACACTATTATATTCACTAGTTTTACTTTTAATATAATATTTTTTATGCCAAAACGCATATTTGTACGATAGAAATAGCATCTTTAGGCGATTAAGCCAAATGGTGGCTGTGACTGGGAGAGTCTGAAATTAAGAGATTCAGCGTAACGTGAAAGTGGTGATCCATATAATAATTGACTCTATTTTAAAATAAAACTGGTAATAAGAGGAATATGTGTGTATAAATATTAGTTGCCGATTTGTTAATCAAACACAATATGTATGTAAAATTGACACAATAATACTTCGCAAAATTCGCCTATAATTCAATCCTCATTTGAATATATCATTAATGGATACTGACGAGTTATTTAGGTTCAATTAGCTTGGATTTTTAATAGACACATAATTGGATGCATGGTTGGTCTTCTTCAATACTGAAATTCATACAGCCTATTCCGAGACGTTCACCGTTACCGTTACACCCGATTTGTTGTAGATGTAATATATAGTACAGTTCTTTTAGATCAAAACACTAGCTACCATTCAAATCAGAGCACAAGACTGATTTTAAGTAAATCAACACACCTCTTGTATCATAAGAGAAACGCTTCCAAATTACCATACAGACACAAAACTTTCTGACTTATTTCACTGAAATTCTTATTCAGTTACGAATATATCTACCTTTATTCCTGCGTCGATCTTTGGTGTTTAGCAAGAACCTTGAGATAAAATCATAACGTTTGTTAACTCGTATGCTTTAACATAGATGACAATTAATATAACTCAAATGATATGTGGAAAATATTGCTATTCGCATATAAAAGATGTTTCAGCAGTAAGGATCACAACGGATCAGTATCATCTCATATTCTTAATAGATAAGACAGTGTAGCGTAACGATTAATTCGTCAGCCAGTATGATTGGTTAACAAAGAACATATGATCTCATTAAATTTTATCTTCTCAATGGTCAATTCGTATCATCGAATCAAAACAAGACAACCAAGCACTTTAAAGTCTATAAAAGCGCGACTAGTTTTAGTAAAATTTGACTTACCACTCTGAACAAGATGATGAGGTGAGTGATGACAAAACTTACGAAGTAGATGAGTGGGTCGTACGAACTTAAATAATGTTGTTTTTTTCACATGAACCATTTTAGATACAGTTTTCTACATAAGCTATTAATTTGCTTTTATGTGGTCTTGAACGTGTTTTACGAATTCTACGACTGCGAGGAGATCTGTGAACACCAGGATTGGAAGAACTATACACAAGTAATTTTTGAAAACCATACATATCGATATGTAAGTAATCAGTCAGATTCTAATGCACATATACAGTCTCATCATTATCGTTACTCTCAAAGAATTAAGATTAATCAGCCTCCACCAGTTGTGGGTGGCACATATAAACAATTCACTTATTTTCATGTGAGTTACTAATCCATATGCTCACATCATTTTAGTCCATTAGGCCAGAATTGCCGTTTAAATATTATGGTAGGGATGTCAGTGAATTTCAAATATGGTATAATGGTAAGTCAATAATTTTCTTTGAATTAAAATTGTCACTGAGTTTTCTTGATCACAATTCATTCCATGAATCAAAGTTGATTCAATTTATTCAGTAAACCAGATATGCTCCTTGTAACAAGTAAAGCTTCTTTGGTTACCTTTTTTGTTCAAATTGTCAACAATGTGACACCTGAAAGCAAAGCAAACTCAGTCCATCCAATTCGCTTAAGTCTTTAGTTTATTTCAAAGTGTTTTAATCATTTAATGTACAATTGTAAGTCAAGTTGCATGTTTTCTTTAAATAAATACAGGTGATATATTTATGTCTGAAAATGAAAACTACATCGGACAGATCTCAAACAATTTGATAAATAGATTGGCATTTAAATTTGAGGTTTTAAAAGAGAGTGAGTTTTGATATTATTCAGTTGTAGTTTGTTTTGTTTACTTTTCTCATGTTCATTTTCTGTAAATGATATCTCACTGACACGACACTTCTCCGTAAACTAAGTAAATCAAACTGATCAAATGTACAGTAATCAGCGATGTTTTGAGTGAAGTCAGTTTGAACTATTGAAGCTTACAAACTATCAAATCATATATGATATTGTCCAATACTTTTCTAGGACTTACTTGATTTGTAAAATTTTATTGTCTCTGAGTCGGTGTCTTTTCACCATCGAACATTCAACTCTATCATTGTTATTATATTCGTATGATTATGAGATTTGAATCCAGACAGTTCCTGAAACAGCGACAAATGAACGATCAAGAATAGTCGGCCAGCACAATATGGCTTACTCAAAATTTATCACCTAGAACACCACGTTTATATATACTCATATCAATCAACAATCCGAATTAATCAAGAACTGAATCTCAGAAAATGATTTTGTTAGGCTATTGTCAGATAGATATTAAATGACTCTTACGCACTCAAAAGATTTTGGGATAAATTTTCCGGATGTGAAATATTTTTCCTGAGTTGGTTAAATTGAAATGCTAGTTATATCATTGAGGTCACAATGCCCCTTCAAACTTCCCCATAAGAGAAGATTGAGCATTGAATCACATCATTACATGTAAATCTCGAAATGATGAAAATAACCTGTAGGCAAAAGCATTCCATATTAAAATGTACATTTTTTAAACACGATATACGCGAATATTTAATTATGCATTTTGATGTTGATTATTTCAGATGACTTAATTGCTGCCAGATGGTCTTTTAGAAAAAATGGTAATAGTACACGTAATTCAACACATTTAAAGTTTAATCATCTACATCCTTACTCATTGTGATTACTCACAGTTTGTGTGATTAAATTATTCTAAGAAACTGAAAGTGTAAGGATTTGCTACTTTTGTGTAAAATGAGGGCGAAACCATTCGTGGAATTTATCCACCGTTTGATTCAATTGATTAAGACTTAAAGATCAGTTGACATGAACTGGAAAACGATGAGCAATAAATAGATCGTAATTGATGTTTACTGCGAAGCTATTTCTGTACACAACAGACACTCATCTACACATTCGTTTATCGTATAGTCATTGCTTTATCTTATACTTTCAAATTAAGAAGCCGTCAAGGTGACATAGGTAAAGCTATTGGTTTTTCATTTAAAGTAAAGACTTCGGAACTAGGCATTTGGCATTCGTTTTGAATGATTCATTCTCGTTTCATTTACATGCCATTTACTTCAATGTATTTATTACTAATTCAACTGAAGAGAGCGAATGAGATAACCTAGTAAATATTCACTGAAATCTGATCACTTTGTGAATGAAACACATAAGGTGTTACATCTAACAGTAACTTTTTAATTATTTCCTTCTCAAATTCTAAGTATTGTTAGTTTTTTTTTATTTGCAGGTCTTATAACTAAAATAACTAATCTGATACATCTGAATGGGAAGATATCCGTCTATTATGAGAGCGTAAGTTACATAGTTGAATGGAAATATAATTTTGTTTCAAGTACTTGTGATCGTCTTACTATTTCATATTTGTTTTTGTGTTACACTGAACATGATAGAAAGTAATCAATAGTTTGTAATGTGCAAACAGATTATTTAACACTATAATAATTGCTTTATTCGATGATGTCTTCACCGGAACAGTACCAACCAGTGTACGTTAGTTTACGGTATGAAAATATTCGTATTCTGTCAGATCGTATTTCATTTTCAAATAATCAACTTTTCAGAACGTCCACTGCTGAATATTGTGAGCTGAGAGTCCTTGAGTTTGTTGATAATCACATTCCATTTCAACTAAGATTTTCATCTTACAATGAGTCACCATATTTCATGAAGGGCAGAGAAGAAATTAAACTAGGCCAAAGTTGACATTGAGTGTGATTCAGAATATCAATGTACACCAGATAGAACACAATTATAAAGAAATGGAGATTATCAGTATACGTATTGTAAGTGTGTTTAAGATCATTTGAACAGAGACACATTTCTTTAATGATCAAATGGTTTTGACATGAGAGGTTTTGTTTTGACAAATTTTCACTCGGATTTAAACACTTTTTTTTCAGATTCCTACGAACACTAGCGAACATGAGCGGGTGTTGAAAATTCAAGGAAAATTACAATGTGTAACTGGTAAAAAACTTTTCATCAAATGTTGTTAACTGTTCGATTTACGGCCATCTCGAATTGAATAATTAAAGCGCATGAGTGTTTTTATCGCAAAATTGTGGATGCGTAATTAAAGATAACTCAGTGTTATGGTGACCGATCGACTGATTCAAACAGCACAGTATGAATGACGAAAATAGGCAGACAATATATGAGAGATGAAGCTGAGTTTCAAGACAATCATTGAGAAAAGTCACAAGTTGGGATACGGGGATTTATGATTACATCTGCGAAAATGCAATGTTATGTTATGTGATATATATTGGTTGCTTGAAGTGTTAATTTTTTAAACAGTGAAGATAATTGTTATACTTTAAAGAGAAATCTAAGTTTTGAATGTCTTTTTTTGTTAAAATCATAATACAAGGTGAGATATCTGTTCCTGCAAAATGGATAGCAAGTGGCACGATGGTAGAATATGAAGACATCGGGAGTACGTTAAACCTTAGTTAATTATCACTACCTATTTTCACGCCTGAAAACATCACGGTTGTTTCGACAAATTGTAAATTTCATGTATAACTCTAGTCAGCGGTTGGCCCTAGTCAGCTATTAAATGCTGTCTAGCCATTCATTCCAAATTACGTTTCACTTATCAATAGATACTTTACGATCTTTGTTAAACAGTAAAAATGATAAAGAACCTATTATGTACTAATAGTCAAGTATGCACTATGATAAATTTGCTTAAAATCATAGTCACAAAACGACAGGTCAGATGATATTCGTCTCGAAAAAGACTAAATGTTACTAAGTTGATTGTGCATTGACAATGCAGCGACCGTTTTTATAATTCAGTACCCATAATATCGAATTTTTCTGGGACATTGAAACTACAAGCGATGTAAATGCCATTAACCTGAGAACGACTGTCTTATTTCCGAAATTTCTGCTTTGTCATATATATCCTATAGAATGAAGATGAAGAAAATTGACCACTCCAAATTACAAGTTATCGTAGCCGGTTTCATAATTAATGACTAATTTCACCATATGTCTTCCTCCTAATAAATATGAACACTCAGTGACAAAAGCAGGTTTAGGTTCGCCATGTATTAGACTATTAAAATAATATTTTGTCCACTGAGAGAATCATTTCATCATCCGATTATCACATCGCTTTCAATATTTGCCAAATGAAGTATTATTCTCATTTTATGAAAAATAAAATTTTGCGTTGATCAAAAACTCTATTCAATACGCTTTGCTGAACGCAGACACAGCATCGTGTGTTCATGTTTGATTGTTAACAGTCGTAGAAATTCGTTAAGTTTGTTTGTCGAAATTCATAGTTTATACTTGACAATTGAAGTAGTTTCATTCAACTCAAACAAACCGTTGCGAAAAACGATAGAGATTGAAAGAATACTGAATATTACATAATGCATCGTAATGAAAATTCATGAGTGACTGCAATAGTCAATTAACACTGAAATCACTATCATGTGTTTCAGTTACTGATATACGTTTTACAATTCTTATTTCTTTTGTTTGATAACTTGAAATGAAATCACCTTATTCTGTTCACAGCAGTTTGTCCAGAATACAATTCAAGTGAAGCATGTGAAAAAGCAGCACCTTCAAATACAACATGTTTCTGGTGTGAAAAATTGAACGCATGCATTAATAATGATGATCAGGATAATCATAATTTGAAAGTTAAAGGATGCCGTGTTGAGGTTAGTAATGTTGAATAAATTCCACATCCTGAGTAATTGGATTCACTCGGAAGAACATTTCATTAATAACAATACAAATCTGACGTGTATTCTACCTACATGACTGAGATAAAGCTTTGTATGAATAAATGGATTTCTTTCCATGGAAACAGTAAACAATGGAATGAAGCGTCACTTATCATCAGTGCTGCAAAACATAATGATTTTTCGGTTTACTCAATGTGTGGTGATTTCAGAAATTCTTCCTGAAATCGATTTTAGATACTCTGTTCATAAATAAGTAATGTGGATGAACTGCTTCAATAATGCCGTCAAATAATATTTTATTGATTTACATTCGAAGTGTTGTTGGATATTGCATCATCGTCAAATAGTTAATGTATAGTGCTTGCTTATCAAACCGTATGTTAAATCGGTAGTAGATGCTCTGAATAATTGTACAAATGCACATTGTATAAGTACTTATTAGTTTGTATACTATCATCATTACTATGAATAATGGATTAATCAAAAATGTTTGATACCTAGTAATGAATGTTTTAATTTTCTTTCGTTCAAAAAAACCAGGATGTTAACAATGTGAGTACAACAGGACCCATTAATCATACAGAATCAACACCAGAGATCATTGATGTTCAGATAGAGAAAAACTTACAGGAAATTTCAGAACAATTGAACAATAATCGGTAAATATTTGATATATAGCAATAAATACTACTGTTTCGTTTGTTCAGAATTGCTCTGGAGTCAATGAAGAAACGGAACAATAATCGGTAAATATTTCATATTTTAAAATATATGATTCTTTTCTGCTTTTGTTCAGAATTCCACTAACGAAATAATCACAGAAAGTAAATGGAAGAAATCACTTTGGTACATTTATATTACGATTTGTTTGGTCGTCACATTTCTTTTGTCCTATGCGTCAGTTATGTTATTTGGATGTAGTTATGCAAAGGAAAGTGTAGTATCTCTTTTTCATTATTCTGACAAAGTTCTTCGGTAATTTGTATTTTACTAAATAATTTTGGATTTCTATATTCATTTCAATAAGTTTGATATATTCTTTTAAAGAACTTTGTACACTTTCTGCTTGTTAACTTAATAACTGATGTAATCTTTTTAATAAAACACTTTGAATGGTTTTTAATAGTTGTGTCATTGTCTTCATTCAATAGAAACTGACTGGTTTCATGATGCTTTGAAAACATTTCATTCTGGAATAAGTAGTACTGTGATTACGTGTTTTTATGATAATTACAATCAACAATGAGTCCATTGTGAATGTTCATCGTCACAATGTCCCTCTACTGAAAAACTATCATTTGGAATTTATGACCGTCATTGTTGTAATGTATTTTGTCGGAACACCTCATCAATACATAATTAAGCAATTTCATCCTTCGTCACTTCAATATTCATTGATCAGTAACTGCAGAGTGACAAACTTTTGTTAACTCGGTATTATCTAATCTGATTCCGATTCGTTCCACGTTTTGGTTGTTGACATCAGCAGTATACGGTAGTTTTATTGAAGGCTTAATCTTCTAATAGACCTAAAATGGGGTTGTCATTATAAGCGTCACAAAATATTTGGACACTTTGATTAAAGAGTTGGTATTTATGTGTCTGAAGCCCTGTTGAGTGATGAAAATCCAGCATCGCACAATAAATTGCACGTTTCGTAACGCACATAGTACATGGTTGACGCTGTAGATATTTTCATTCACTTTCACTGTTCTGAATTGTGCTATGAGGCTGATTTAAAAGATATTTGTCAACGAATTTTTTAAGATTAACATTATCAGCTTTGACAACGATTGCCACTCCATGTGGTCTATTGAAATACAAATGTTTTAAATTTGGTCAACGTTGTTCCGTAAACATATTTCACGAAGGGACAAAGAGCGCTGTCAGCGAACCTACAGGTGTTGAAGTTAGCCGAAGTGATTTCAGTCTTTGATGTAAGCATTAAATATCATTTGACTAGAGACTTATTGCTCTCTTACGTCATCTGCTTGAGATAAAATATGCCTTACATCTAACTTGTTGTTCATTGTGTGTATTTACTATTGACAGCTTATGAGATTTTGTTGACCGTCATGGTTTTAAATTCGGTACAAAGCGACTGGCTCCACTTATACACAAGTAATCCATTTTAAAGCTAACAGGTTTACACTCCGCTTGACGCTCTCTAATATTGTCATAAGGTTATTTGCTAGTTTCTTTATCTCCAGTTTATGGGGTGCGGAAAAAGTGTGTTGTTTTGTACGCACACAAGAAATTCGTTAAAGTAAAAGTGCATTTTGAACTCACTCTCTGTACCTTTTACTTTGTACGTTGTTGTGTTTTTGGGAAAATGATCGATTCGTTACAAAGAAGTATCAAACAGTGTCAACATATTATTCTCAACCGTGGAATGATTATGCTGTCAGTTTTTCCGTGTCATATTAATTTGTCATCATACACTTTTGGCTAAATCTTGTCCTTGCACAGCAAATTTTTGAATCATCCTTAGGAATAACTATTCGAATTCAAATGAACAATATGTAGACCGAAAATCATTTGGTTTGTAAACCAGTGTCAAAAATGTTATTAGTTGACTATCCTACATTAGATCTGACCACAATTATCATCGAGTAGTATTCGGTTCATTGAAATGCATTCACGCTGTAATAATGTGCTGTTGGGGAATGTTGCGGTTATGTAGATAATTCATAATGTTCTTATCATTTCATTGAATACTTAATGTGAGAAATGATATTCAGTTGGCAGAATGTCATTTATATTTAAATACTAACGATAAATAGAGCTTACCTGTAATAAACTAGATCTTTTTAAATAATCACGTTATATATATATATATATATAAATATATATATATATATGTCTCTATCGAGAGGACCAAAGAACTATAGCTGATTTATCGATTTGTCAGACCATCAATACCAATAGATAAAAGGCGGCTTATCAAAGGAACACTGTCAGAATCAACTGCAGACAACCATTTTGTTGTCACAGAACACGTTCGCAATAACCCTACTGTTAACAGACTCATTGCAAACACCGGCCTGTTCACAGGAATTGAATCTATTCCACGGTTGAACCGATAAATATTTTATAAATTTTCTGCAAGTGGTTATAACATTCATCCTGACTATGTTAATTATGTAAAACATCGACCCTTAAGCTATTCAACATTTACTGCAGAACTACAACGAGCGGATATTTATCTATGTGAACGTTTCAACCCCTCATAATCGATTATATGTTCGCGAAAACTTTGGTTGTTCTTGCCCTATACCCAATTCCGTAATTATTTCAAGACAATCGCATATTTAAGCTCAACCATTCTCCAGTAGCGTCTAAATTATGCAACATCGATTAAGACGTTATTAACTATTTCAAAATTACCTACCTTGCACTCAGTCTCATTACGTGTCCATGAACACTCGCTTCTCAATTGAATTTCGGTAGAAGAATGATCTATGTTCTTATTAGACGAAATCCTTTTCCTACTTTTCAACAACTCATTTTGCTTTTTGTTATTTCACACTCAAAATAAAATATTCTGGCTTAATTTCTTCATCTTACCGACATAGAAAATTAACGTTGGGGTGAATGTCCATTACACCAAAAGGAATAATCCACATATAATAACGTAAAAACAGTGTATTTAGCTTCCCAAGTGAATAAGTCTGAAAACAATTTAACACCTCAATCAATGATTCACTGAACAGCTATCACAGGACCGTGTGTGACTCTGAACTATCTCATTATGTATGGATTCCAATATGCTTTTTTCTTATTTTAGTTTGCGCTTCATTATAAGATAATTAAATTTCCCAGGTCCAAAGAAGTATATCAGTATAGATCGATCTTGCGATGATGAATTATTAGCACTGAAGATGTACCAACAAGACATAATGGTAAATTTTACCTGCTTTTCTGTTGAGGTAGCATTCCACTATCTGCATGAAGACACTAATTTGAAAGTAGAGAACGTTGAAATTATTTTGGTTTTCACACACATTTGATTTCTTATATCGCTTTCTTAGCATAAAGGGATCGCAAACATGCAGATTTGTTAAGATTTTCAGATATAAAACACCTTGTTTTATCAGCAATTATCACGTATATAGTTATAAAAATTTAAATACAGTAAGTTCTAGAGTCGTATATACGAGTGGTCACTTTAAAAAATCTACTTTATTCACTGATCTAGTGAGACGTCAACTTCCATCAAGGTTTCCCAAACTCTTCTTCAATCCAAACAATTTTTAAATTACTTAGACCTGTTACCTCTAATTGAGCAAAAGCCGCCGATATACAATCTTCAACCTACTTTGCCCCGGACGTTCCTATCTAGTTCCACTCAATTGATGTTCATTCTTCTCATATCTGTCACCATTTCTCAGGGTAATGTAGAACTGTCCTGACATTTGTACTGAAAACTGTGAATTTGTTTGGCAGTTGTTTTGAGTTCCAAATATACTTTATTTGTTAATATGCTGCTGTTGCTTTGCCGATACGCGTCTTCAAATCTGCATCAGATCCACCGCGCTCATCAGGGATGCAAACTCCAAAAAGTTTTTACATCCTCCAAAGTTTGTTCGTGAAGTGTGATTTGAAAAGTGGATCTTTTGTCGAATGGAATAATCTTGCTTTTCCCTTTGTGTATGTTGAGACCTAACACTACTACGGCTGACATTTACAAAGTTAGGCTTTTTACTGCTTGTGAAGCAAGGAGGCTCAGATGCAGACGTCAAAGCGAGGATTGGCAAAGCTAGAGCGGCATTCCTTCAACTGAAGAACATATGGAACTCAAAACAACTTTCAACCAATATCAAAGTCAGAATCTTCAATACCAACGTCAAGGCAGTTCTACTGTACGGAGCTGAAACTTGAAGAACTACGACAACCTTTATCAACAAGGTACACGTATTTATCAATAGCTGTCGACACAAAATGCTCAACATCAATTGACCGGATACTATCAGCAACAGCCCTCTGTGGGCGAGAACAAACCAGCTTTTAGCTGAAAAGGAAATTAGGAGAAGACGATGGAAATGGATAGGACATACATTACGCAAATCATCAAACTGCACCACGAAACAAGCACGTACTTGGAATCACGAACGGAAGAGGAAAGCAGGAAGGCCAAAAAACACTTTACATCGTGAAATAGAAGCGAATATGAAAAGGATGAATTAGTACTGGAAAGAGCTGTAAGGATTGCTCAGGACAGATTTGGATGGAGAATGCTGGTGGGCAGCCTCTGCTCCTCCTTCACGAGGAGTAGCAGGCGTGAGTAATTAGGGTTGGTGTTTTTCATTTTTATTGAATGTGACACTGTGAATAATCATCATCATCACCATGAAAAACGCCTCATCACTTTTTGTGCATCCTTTTTTATATTAATCACTATGACAGAGAAACTCATGTTTATCAGATATTCTGGATAGATTCACACTTGACTGTTCAGGAAATTTATATTTGTGTTGAATGTTAATTGAAGTTGGATATCATCGTTGAGTGGATGCGATAAAATCTATAGAGTCGAATATACTTTGAAATATCATTTGCTGCTGAAGTTCGTGTGTAGTTTGCCACAGAATTGAATTTCACCATGAGGGAGCATTCTTAAATGAACACTTGAGTAGCCTGCCAAATATGTAATTCTGGACAACCTCAAATGCATGTTTTGAATCGATTTCATTGAGGATATATTTTTATTGGTTTGGTGTTTGATGTCTGTCGGCAGAAACTGTGAATCGTGTTTTCATGATGGTTGATACAAGTCAGCGAAGTGCACTCTCACTTTGGAAAAAACCAATGATCCTAGTTTGATCCAAACTCATATTACTCCAGTTTACATATTGAGAATTAACCGATTCGTTACTTAAACCGCAATTGATTCGAACCCAAGTCTTTCGGTCTCGCACGCGAACGCTTAACCTACCCGACCACATTCACAGATTTCATATAAAGCTTTCGCAATCAAAAATTACAATAAGTCAAGTATAATTCATGTAGCAGAATAACAACAATTTATTGTATTTCGCGCATTCTCATCAGCTGCTTATAACTTGGAATTATCACATCAGAGCCGTACTCAACATTTAGACTGTCACGAAATCGCTTGAGTC